ATGGAAACCTGTAATTGTTTTACATGATGGAAGGATTGCTGGCGTCTTTTTTCTGTCTCAAACGTGCAAGATTTCAGGTATGTCTTGCTACTTCTTACTCTTAGGTCACACTACACATACATGTACAAGCATATATATACACACCCCTCTGGGTTTTCTTTCTAGTTCTTGTTCTTGTTTATTTCCTCTTATCTCCATGGGGAAGTGAAACAGAATTTTTCCTCCATAAGCCATGCGTGTTGTAAGAGGCAACTAAAATGCCAGGAGCAAGGGGCTAGTAACCCCTTCTCCTGTACAAATTACTAAATTTAAACAGAAAAATTATCGTTTTTCTTTTTGGGCTACCCTGCTTTGGTGGGATACAGCCGGTTTGTTGAAAAAAAAAAGTATATATATATATCCTAGGTAGTAGGTTGGTAGACAGCAACTGCCCAGGAAGGTACTATCTCCTGCCACATAAGTGTGAAATGGAAGCCTGCAATTGTTTGACATGATGGTATGATTGCTGGTGTCTTTTTTCTGTCTCATAAACATGCAAGATTTCAGGAATGTCTTCTTGCTACTTCTACTTACACTTAGGTCACAATACACATGCATGCATGTACAAGCATATATATACACATCCCTCTAGGTTTTTTTCTATTTTCTTACTAGTTCTTATTCTTGTTTATTTCCTCTTATCTCCATGGGAAAGTGGAACAGAATTCTTCCTCCATAAGCCATTTGTGTCGTAATAGGCGACTAAAATGCTGGGAGCAAGGGGCTAGTAACTCCTTCTCCTGTATACATTACTAAATTTAAAAAGAGAAACTTTTGTTTTTGTTGTTGGCCCACCCTGCCTCGGTGGGATATGGCTGGTACGTTGAAAGAAGAAAGATATACATGTACATACACATACACACACACACATATATATCAAGGACTGTGTAAGCTTTCACACCATTAACAGTGTTGGAAAGATACCACTCACCACATAATTATAATAACGAGTTTATCACATACACATACCCCGTACACAGGAGACTGAAACTGAAGACAACGTTTCAGTCCGACTTGGCCAATCAACTAGTTAATGGTCTGATTCTGACCAAAATGTAACCAAAAATTTCGTTCTCCTATGTGTGGGTTATTTATCTATTGTTCCTGTCATGGTATTGTGCCTTTTTATTCTTTATAACATAGCTTATCAAGTTGGTGTAGTGATGCCCATTGTAAGTGACCAGTGTACATTAGCTGACTTTAGTCATATGATTGTACAACCTCAATAAGTTGCTCTTCAATGTTCATTACCAGAGGTAATCAAGTTTGAGCCCAGAAAGAGGAAGCTAGCTCCAGTTCCTTGGATCAAGAGCCCTTCACTAACATCAAGGTGCTCCCATTGAGAAAAACTGCATAGCAAAACTCATTGAGTGACTGAAAAAAACAATCTACTTTTCATGCATATGCTAAAGTTACTTCTTCATTATACATGACACTTTTTTATAAGTTCAGAAGATACCAAAAGTATGTAAAGTAGCTGAATCAATATAAGGTTTACTAAATATTATAATAGCACCTACCTTACCTTCATGGCCACTGCAAATTGTGCAATTTTACTGTAAATTTTCCTAGTACTGAAATCTTTTTTGTGAAAGAATGTAAGAGTCCATGCCCTCAAGAAAGATCAAGATTGACTATCATCCACATGTTAACATCACAACATCAATTTTTTTAAATCCCAATATATTAAATAAAACAAACACAGTTTACAAGAATCTGTCACATATTTCAAAATCTTTTCCTATATGTAACCAGTTGCCTAGGCTGATAATTACTTTTGCATACAAGACTTTACATCACCACCTTTGAGTTGTTTCAAAATTATCATATAGGAAAACGTGCTTCACAGAAGTATCAACTCTTACATAGTAACTATCACAAGGCTCTCCACAAGGAATAGCTAATTTTATGTGTTTCTTCTCAATGCTATATTTAAGATGGACAGTAAGAATTTTGTTAAATAAGGCAAAGGAAACCACTGCCACACATGTTGCACCCAACCCTAAAAATCGTCATTACTTTCTTGATTAAATTTTCTAAATCTTTCTAGCCAAAAGCTGCAGTGCTCCTCTAACACACTTGGCACACATTTTATATATCTAACCAGCTCTGGATAGGTTTTTATATCTCTAACATGTTGGAATAGGTTTTATATCTTTAACATGCTTGGAACAGGTATTATATCTTTAACATGCTAGGGTTATATTTAATATCTCTAACATACTTGGGATAAGTTATAAAGTTATGTTACAATAGCTGTAACAAGAGAAGCCTAAAGGAAGAAGAGTATTAAACAGTCCAGCAACATGGCAATATTAAAATACTCTTGCAGTTGTTGCCTTGTTAATGGGGAATTTGCTACTCTACCTCTGCCTTTGACAAAATTTATCACTCTTTGATGCCAGCAAATCTGTCGGTAATAGTTTTAAAACCATGAACATTTTCATTGCCATGTGATGATATTTTTGAGAAAACTGGGTTTATGGAGATGTTTGAACAAAAAAAATGACTAATTATCTTACAAGAGCTGCCAAATACACCAGTTATCACTCTTATAATACAATGGTGCTATGTAGGGTAAGTCACACAACTATACACAAAAACATGACCATCAGCTTTTTAAAAAAAAAAATGAAATTTAAATAACGAATAAAGAAATAGAATCTACAGCCTAATTTAAAAAAAAATTCTGCCAAATTTGGTACAATTTAAAAATGCTTTGACATTGCTAATTTGCATAGTTCCTACTCAACGATGTGTCATTTTCAAAGTGATAAAATAGTAGTCGATTGATAGATTGTAAGAAAAAGCCATGACAATGTTACACCTTGTTAGGTCTTTTACTAATCTGGCAATCAGTTATCCAGTTCCATCAGTAATCCAGCACTAATTTCAGCTAGTATAATTTCAAATTTCATCATTATACTGACTCAGAAATTGTGCAGATGGTTGTAAATGCACAGCAGAAAGCCAGTGGAGGAGAAGGCAGTGATGAAAATGAGGAAGATGTAGCAGAAAGAGTCTCTATTGATAGGTTAATTAAGGGTATTCTCACCTAACCACTCTGTAATCCAGCACATTACAAGTCCCAATTACGCTGGATTAGTGATGGCTGACCTGTAGTTAATAAGAAACCATATCTATTTAACATTAAAAAATTAATTTCAGCTATTAGTTATACAATTTCAGGTCATTTGAATTGTGATGTGTGGACATTGCGGCACGACAACTTCTGACTGTGTGACAGTGAATGATGCCTTCTTGGGGTTACCCTAACTTAGTGGATAATGACTCATGTTAAAAAATAATCACAACAAACAGTGCATGTAAATTCACATTTATCACATTCTCTTTATTATTATTATTATTATTTTATTATTATTATTATTATTATTATTATGCCCAAGTGTATACAGGAGTTCATTCTGACGTTCCCAACTGATTAATGGCAAGTTATGCCACAAGTCACTCAGCAAATCTCTTGCCTTTCAACAACCCATGGGTAGATTAAGTGCTGGTTATTGTGTTCAAGTGCAGCAGCATGTACATGCATGGTCACACTGTCCCAGTACATGCATGGTCACACTGTCCCAGTACATGCATGGTCACACTGTCCCAGTACATGCATGGTCACACTGTCCCAGTACCTGCATGGTCACACTGTCCCAGTACCTACATGGTCACACTGCCCCAGTACATGCATGGTCACACTGTCCCAGTACCTACATGGTCACACTGCCCCAGTACATGCATGGTCACACTGTCCCAGTACCTACATGGTCACACTGCCCCAGTACATGCATGGTCACACTGTCCCAGTGCATGCATGGTCACACTGTCCCAGTACCTACATGGTCACACTGCCCCAGTACATGCATGGTCACACTGCCCCAGTACATGCATGGTCACACTGTCCCAGTACCTACATGGTCACACTGCCCCAGTACATGCATGGTCACACTGCCCCAGTACATGCATGGTCACACTGTCCCAGTACCTACATGGTCACACTGCCCCAGTACATGCATGGTCACACTGCCCCAGTACATGCATGGTCACACTGTCCCAGTGCATGCATGGTCACACTGTCCCAGTACATACATGGTCACACTGCCCCAGTACATGCATGGTCACACTGTCCCAGTACATGCATGGTCACACTGTCCCAGTACATGCATGGTCACACTGCCCCAGTACATGCATGGTCACACTGTCCCAGTGCATGCATGGTCACACTGTCCCAGTACATGCATGGTCACACTGTCACTGCACCTGCATGGTCACACTGTCCCAGTACATGCATAGTCACACTACCCCAGTACCTGCATGGTCACACTGCCCCAGTACATGCATGGTCACACTGTCCCAGTGCATGCATGGTCACACTGTCCCAGTACATGCATGGTCACACTGTCCCTGCACCTGCATGGTCACACTGTCCCAGTACATGCATAGTCACACTACCCCAGTACCTGCATGGTCACACTGCCCCAGCACCTGCATGGTCACACTGCCCCAGTACATGCATGGTCACACTGCCCCAGCACCTGCATGGTCACACTGCCCCAGTACCTGCATGGTCACACTGCCCCAGCACCTGCATGGTCACACTGTTCCAGCACCTGCATGGTCACACTGCCCCAGTACATGCATGGTCACGCTGTCCCAGCACCTACATGGTCACACTGTCCCAGTACATGCATGGTCACACTGCCCCAGTACCTGCATGGTCACACTGCCCCAGCACCTGCATGGTCACACTGCCCCAGCACCTGCATGGTCACACTGTCCCAGTACCTACATGGTCATATTGTCCCAGCACCTGCATGGTCACACTGTCCCAGCACTTGAATGGTCACACTGTCCTAGCACCTGCATAGTCACACTACCCCAGTACCTGCATGGTCACACTGTCCCAGCACCTGCATAGTCACAGTCCCAGCACCTGCATGGTCACACTGTCCGAGCACCTGCATGGTCACATTGTCCCAGCACCTGCATAGTCACACTGTCCCAGTACCTGCATGGTCACATTGTCCCAGCACCTGCATGGTCACATTGTCCCAGCACCTGCATGGTCACACTGTTCCAGCACCTGCATAGTCACACTACCCCAGTACCTGCATGGTCACACTGTCCCAGTACCTGCATAGTCACATTGTCCCAGTACCTGCATGGTCACATTGTCCCAGCACCTGCATGATCACTGTCTAAGTACCTGCATGGTCACACTGCACCAGCACCTGCATGGTCAAACTGCACCAGCACCTGCATGGTCAAACTGCACCAGCACCTGCATGGTCACACTGCACCAGCACCTGCATGGTCACACTGCACCAGCACCTGCATGGTCAAACTGCACCAGCACCTGCATGGTCACACTGCACCAGCACCTGCATGGTCAAACTGCCCCAGCACCTGCATGGTCACACTGCAACAGCACCTGCATGGTCAAACTGCACCAGTACCTTCACAGTCAAACTGCACGAGCACCTGCATGGTCACACTGCACCAGCACCTGCATGGTCACACTGCACCAGCACCTGCATGGTCACACTGTCTTGGCACCTGCATGGTTACACTGCCCCAGCATCTGCATGGTCACACTGCCCCAGTCATCATTAACCCTTAAACTGTCCAAACGTAGATCTACGTCCACATGTGGGGGCCCCGAACGCAGATCTACATTTTTTTACATGCTTTCAAATGGGGAAAACCAAGGTTGGAGTGCTACATACGGGAACGTAGATCTACGTTTGGACACTAAGGGTTAAAATGCTGTCAACATATACAAAATATTATCTTTTTGTATTTATAGGTAACTGAAGTTTGGGATATTTGAGTTCAGTCCATATACAAAAATAAAAATAATAATAATAATAATAATAATAATAATAATAATAATAATAATAATAATAGTAATAATAATAATAATAATATTACTGTATTGTTAAAAATTATAATATTAATTGTAACTTGCATTATTACAATATTAATAATCATTGTAATAATAAAGAATAACAGTAATAATATGGAGGTGGGAAGTTGAGTGGCTGCACTCTGAAGGAGAGGGTGAGGATGTTGCAGTTCAGAGGGTCATCTTAACTGTAATATCAGCACACTTCTTGCAAGACAGTGATTGAATAAATGATGGTGAATGTGTTTCCTCTTTTTTCGGGGGTCACCCTACCTTAGTGAGAGATGGCCAATGAGTTAAAAAGCACTGTAATATTAATGTTAAAAATAATAAAAAAAAAATAATGCCAAACTAACTACCATCTTTTTTTCAAAAGATGAACCACAAGACAAGAAGTGGCTTCACTGTGGTCAGTCATCTTAGCAAGCAATAGATGCAGTTAGACTAGATAAATCATTATTATATCTAATGATTTAATAATTACAAAATCTTAATACTATGTATGTTTTACAGCTGTATAAGTCTTATCATTAAGATTAGTTCTCTAAAAATATTAAAATTACACGAGGTAATACACTTTGTGAACCTTATACACATGCTCTGTAAAGCACTAATGGGACTATGGACAACTCTGGCTTGAGAGCCATGCATTTGTGTAGGTAAGAACTTACTGGGTGCCCAGTAATCATTCAAAAAGAACAATTATGGACACATAACTTCTACATAATACTGGTCATGGTTCAATCATCATTTTACTGAGCACAAATCACCCTGCCTCACAAAACACAATGTACACTTATTGTCGAGTTTTTTACCATTGACTCATTTTTTAACAATTGTCTCAACATTTCTCCTGACATCATTTGGCAATGTTTAGAGACTATGTCATAGTAAACAAAACATCGAGCCTCATACAGTATCAACCATGTGTACAGTAACTGGCACTTGAATAATGTTTGGCCCACTGCGTTTAATATTTGCCAAAAGTGTATGAGAAGGTTCATAATGATTGTGGTTGTCCAGCCCATCACTCTCTCTTTCCTGGGGTACTGGAGAAGAAGGCGGAGACCAGCCAGAGGATGAATGGAAATCTTCTACCATATGATTTATTGGAAGGCCTACAATCCCTCCTAAATCATTGTAATTAAGGTTTTCTGAATCATCATGAGGAGTCATGGTGGAGTAACCTTGATCACTTGAGTCGGCCAGACCTGGAGGACGGCGGTACCCAGGGTTCATGCGGTATGGGCTAACAGTGGCAGCTGCTCCTAATCCCACCCCAGACATGTCTCCTGAAATAATGTAAACAAGTGTTTGAATTTCTGTCTTCTGTTCAGTCTATATGAATGGTAGGAAATCCTTGTACATGCTTTACAGAAATTTCATATAACATGCCATTAACTTGAGCTTAATAGGCTACAGATCAATATAAAACAGGCATTATATTTGAGAGTTTTATTTACCTAAGAGATCTTCATCACCATTATCAAGTTGATGTGTGGGTTGTGACTGGTATAAAGGATGCTGGTGAGGTTGGGACTGAAAGTTGGCAGGAGTGTAGAAAGAACGGCTGCTGCCACCACCCACGTGTTGCCGGTAGCAATACACAGCCACAGCTACCACCATAAATACTGCCATGATCCCACCAGCCACTGAAAGACAACAAATGTTCAATACGCTTATCATAATGCAACAATTTTTTAACTGATACTGCATTTTCAAATACAGTGGACCCTCGGTTATCGGCCATAATCCATTCCAGAAGGTCAGCCTAAATCCGAAAAGGCCAAAACCAAAATAACATTTCCCATAAGAATTAATGTAAATCCAATTAATCCGTTTCAGACACCCAAAAATATTAAAAAAAAATACATTTTTTAAAGATTAACTGTAGTTTTACATACAGAAAACAATGAGAAATAAATATAAAGCACAAATTTTAATGATAAATGAACATTACATACCTTCATTGAAGACTCTTGTTGGCATATTGAAGAAGGCAGGAGGGGAGAGGGAGTTGGGAATCCCCAACTCCCTCTCCCCTTTGTGTAGTGTAGCCCCTCCTGGGTTACACTACACAGCCATATTATTACCATGTTCACTGAGTTTAATTGTTTCTAAAAACTACCTTCAGATGCCATCTTAAACAAAGGGAGAAGTAATGAATAATTCATGCCGAGAATTGTAAATAAACTCATATGAAGGGCGGTTACTGGGCAAGATGCCAGATTCACAGTTTTCTCTAATGCTGAATCAGAGAAAATGCAACGTTTACTCTCCAACCGACTCTCCATTCGATAGCATATAACCACTGCATGTTTATATGCTATATACAGTGGAACCTCAAATATCGAACTTTCTTTGGTCCAGAAGGCTGTTTGAGTGCCTTTACCGAATGAATTTATTCCCATGAGGAATAATGTACATTAGGTTAGTCCATTTCAGACCCTCAAAAATACACTTATAAAAACACTTACAAAAATACACTTACATAATTGGTTGTGTTGGGAGCAGTTCGATTTTTGAGGTTCCACTGTACTATGTAACGTGTTTCTTATATAATTTTGAAGAAAATATCATATATGGCTTAATGAAATGTCTATACTGTATTAACCTAAAATATGACAATGTGCCCAAGAGTGATTATTGCTAGACATACATTGCATATAAAACTGCATGTTTTTATATACATGTACATACTATGTAACTTGTTTCTTACATAATATTGAAGAAAATATCATAGATGGATTAATGAAAATGTCTATATTGTATTAACCTAAAATAAGACATTTAATGTGCTCAAGAGTGATTTATTATGCATCCAATATGACCAATCTCCGAAATAACAGCCGATAACCGAGATCGAATTTCGGCCAAAAAAGCGGGTGAAAACCGAATAGGTCGACATCCAGAATGGCCGATAACTGTGTCAAATTACGAGGATTATTTTAAGCCAAAAGATCTACAGTACCATAAAGTGGATATTGGCTAAAATGGACAAAAAAAATCTGGTTGGACAAAGACTCAACATGTATGTCTAATCGGATGTCCAACTAAAATAGCCATACATTTGCCTCTGATATACCTTTGATGAGTTAAAAAAGTTTTTCTACTCCCAGAGCCCGGCCTTGGACCAGGCTTGCCTGGTGCTTGCCTAGTCAACCAGGCTGTTGCTGCTAGTGGCCTACTGGTCTACATATCCATCACAGCCTGGTTGATATGGCACCTAGTGAGGATACTTGTCCATTTTCCTTTTGAAAACTTCTACATTTCTCTCAGCAAGATGTTAAATCTCCATGAGGAAGTGGAGAATTCTTCCTATGCAGTCCCCTGACCTGTGCTCATGATAATGTATTTTTTTTTTCCAACAAACAGGCCACATTCCACCAACTCAGGGTGGCCCAAAAGGAAAAACAAAAGTTTCTCCTTTTGAATTTAGTAACATATATAGGAGAAGGGGGTTACTAGCCCCTTACTCCTGGCATTTCGGTTGTCCCTTATGACACGCATGGCTTACAGAGGAAGAAATCTGTTCCACGTCCCTGTGGAGATAAGAGGAAATAAACAAGGACAAGACCTAGTAAGGAAATAGAAGAAAACCCAGACGGGTGTGTATATACGTATATGCTTGTCTATGCATGTGCAGTGTAACCTAAGTGTAAGCAGAAGTAGCAAGATGTACAGAAAAATGATACCAGCAATCTTACCATTATGTAAAACAATTACAGGACTCATAATAATATACTCTTGGAAAATCCTAGAAGGACTAGTCCCAAATCTGCACACAGAAATCACTCCTTACAAAAGCAAAAAACTTGACAGACAGTGCAACATCCCCCAATGAAAAGCAGGGGCACCATGAGCACCATGTCGTAAGAGGTGACTAAAATGTGCCAGTGGCGCTCCTGCTTTTCACTGGGTTTATTTTGCACTTCCTCACATATCTCTTACCAGACTATGTTGTTATGGCAGTGTGCAGATTTGAGGCAAGGCCCTCAAGCCCTTTTCAGGTATATATTATCATGTGTCTTCATTTGCAGATGACACTTGAATTTCTATGACAGTGTCCTCCATTGAGGACACTGCAAGACTCCGGGCGGACAGCAACCAAAGCTTTAATGGGCCGCAGAAAACAATATGAAGTTCAATGAAGAGAAATTTCAATTTCTAAGATATGGAAAACTTAAGGATATTACAACTATGTATATCAAAGCATAAAACAAATTCCAATCACACAACAGAGCGAAAAACTAATGTAAAGGACCTGAGAGTGATAATGTCAGAGGATCTCACTTTCAAAGACCACAACAATATATCTACCGCATCTGCTATTAAAATGATAGGATGGATAATGAGAACCTTCACAACTAGGGATGCCAAGCCCATGATGACTCTTTACAGATCGCCTTCTCTATCTAGACTGGAATATTGCCAAACACTAACAGCGCCTTTCAAGACAGGTGAAATTGTAGATCTGGAGATTGTACAGAGAACCTCCATGGAACATATAAGTACAATAAAACACCTTAATCATTCGGAATGGTTGAAGCTCCTTGATTTGTACTCCCTGGAATGCAGGCAAAAAAGATATTTTTTACATTTTTATTATCACACTGGCCGATTCCCACCAAGGCAGGGTGGCCCGAAAAAGAAAAACTTTCACCATCATTCACTCCATCACTGTCTTGCCAGAAGGGTGCTTTACACTACAGTTTTTAAACTGCAACATTAACACCCCTCCTGTTCAGTTACAATACAGTTGCATAAAAGATATGTACATGATAAAAGACACCTGGAGAATCCTAGAAGGATTAGTACCAAATTTGCACAAGAAAATCACTCCCTATGAAAACAAAAGACTCAGCAGGAGATGCAACATCTCCCAATGAAAAACAGGGGCACCATGAGCATGCCAAGAGACAACACAATAAGTGTCAAGAGCCTATGACTGTTCAACTGCCTCCCAGCATATATAAGGGGGATTACCAATAGACCCCTGGCTGTCTTCAAGAAGATGCTGGACAAGCACCTAAAGTCAGTACTTGACCAGCCAGGCTGTGGTTCGTATGTCAGTCTATGTGCAGCCAGCAGTAACAGCCTGGTTGATCAGGCCCTGATCCACCACAAGGCCTGGTCACAGACCTGGCCACAGGGGTCTTGAGCCCCAAAACCCTCACCAGGTATACTCCAGGTATCTCTCTTTTCTCCACTCCAGTGAGTACATATTTAAGACTTTAAGGTAGTCCCAGCAATTTAAATGTTTTATTGGCTCTATATGAGCCATAAACAATCTCTATCTGTTTCAGCTCTAATATCTCTCCTGTCCTGAATGGGATTATCAACACTGAGCAATATTCCAAATGACGAAGCACAAGTGATTAGAAAAGTGTCACTATTGACACTATTTCCCTTGTTTTGAAAGTCCTCATTATCCACCCAATCATCTTTTTGGCAGTTGTGACATTTGCCTTAATGTGCTCTTTGAAAGAAATGTCAGCCGACATAATTAATCTCACGTAGTGGGCCAAATCCGCTACAGAGAGCTTATGCTCTATGAAACAAAATGAATCCAAATTTTAAGCAAAATGTTATGCCATAATTTTGAATTATTCTCAGTTATTAGTTTTACAGAAGCACTAGAAACATAACTCTCGTTAATTTTAGCAACAACTACACATCTTTCTTTCTTTCAACACACCGGCTGTATCCCACCGAGGCGGGGTGGCCCAAAAGGAAAAACGAAAGTTTCTCCTTTTACATTTAGTAATATATAAAGGAAAAGAGGTTTCTAGCCCCTTGCTCCTGGCATTTTAGTCACCTCCTACAACACGCATGGCTTATGGAGGAAGAATTCTGTTCCACTTCCCCATGGAGGTAAGAGAAAATAAACAAGAACAAGAACTAGTAAGAAAATAGAAGAAAACCCAGAGGGGTGTGTATATATATGCTTGTACATGTATGTGTAGTGTGACCTAAGTGTAAGTAGAAGTAGCAAGATGTAACTGAAACCTTGCATGTTTATGAGACAGAAAAAAGGACACCAGCAATCCTACCATCATGTAAAACAATTACAGGCTTTCGTTTTACACTCACTTGGCAGGATGGTAGTACCTCCCTGGGCGGTTGCTGTCTACCAACCTACTACCTATATAACTACACATATTGTTAAAGTAATTATATAGTATAGTATACTGTATTATAGTAACCAGATAATTACATTAATTATTGTTACTGTACCACAACTCTGGAGATTATAATTTCACAAATATTATTTAGAAAAAAGTCAGGTTGCTTACCAGGACCAATGGGATTTCCTGAGGCACCATGTGTGTTATCTGAATGAGGAAGAGTAGCAAGTCCATGAGGATATGGTGAAGGTCCTCCGAGAACACCACCATAGCACTGATGAACTTCAGTACAGTGTGGGTGTGCCATACGTGACTGCCTATCACTTGTCAAGGAACACCATATGCAGCCAACTACACCTAAACAAGATGAGTGTGTCATCTGAGTGGCACATGACAGAGAGAGGCATGTATCAAGGTGAGATAATAAACCAATGGAATACTGCAGCGGCATGGCAGCTTCTGGAGTGCGTCCACATGTGGGTGCTGTGTCTGGAGACTGGGTGGCAAGTTCTAGAACTTGAGGCATGAGCTGGCCTTTCATGAAACCTGCATCAAAATATGGTTGCCAATGCTGGCTAAATGAATCACTTGTGTAGTTACTGAGGGAATCCATGAAAGCTGATGACTGGGTGGTGGCAGAAGAGAGGTCCAGTACAGATGCAGCACATGGACGTGACAATAGTGGACACTCACAAGGGCACTCACAAGCACCGGCTTCCACCAGCTGACAATTGAGACACAGTCTATCATCCTGAAAACAAAAAGTATTCTAAACAACTAATTTCTGATGTGCTAACTATAATTGCATATCCTATTTGCATTCCAGATTTAATAAGCTCCAAAGCACTAAGAGACTATGGAAAAATACTTAAAATGGAACTGGTAGATAATTATAATCCACTGAACTTGACTCAAGAAATCGTAATGACACGATTGCAAACAAACCATACCCCCGGCCGGGATTGAACCCGCGGTCATAGTCTCAAAACTCCAGCCCGTCGCGTTAACCACTAGACCAGCTAGCCACAATAAGATTCATCCAACTATGGTGTAGAAATATACCTAGTTGGATGAATCTTATTGTGGCTAGCTGGTCTAGTGGCTAACGCGACGGGCTGGAGTTTTGAGACTCTATGACCGCGGGTTCAATCCCGGCCGGGGGTATGGTTTGATAATCCACTGAATAATGTTACATTTTGACTAATAAGTGGCAGACATGAAATTCACTAACACATTATCTGAAACCAACACACTTACATTCTTAGGCACTGATGATTTCCCAGTGATAAAAAGAACGCTAAATAATTTAGGTTACCATAATTTTATAATGAAATAAAACATAAACTGTATTTATGAGCAGAGTAATAAGTTCGTCATGATATATACTGTGTATAGATATATATATTCTCCATGGGTAAGTGGAACAGAATTCTTCCTCCCTAAGCCATGCAAGTCATAAGAGGCAACTAAAATGCCAGGAGCAAGGGGCTAGTACTTTCACCATCATTTACACTATCACTGTTTTGCCAGAGGTGTACAAATATGAGTTTAGACATTCCTCTCAACAGTAAATATCCTGAAGTGCAGGCACTGTACTTTCCACCTCCAGGACTCAAGTCTGGCTATGTGTAGTGTACTTTTTTCTTAAAAACATGCAAGCAAAGATTATTAGAAATTAGTTTCAGCTCAGCAAAGTGCCTGTTCATGGCAGCCACACACTATTTCACATTTTTTTTTTTTTTTTTAATTTTTTGTACCCCTGGCTGAGAGACTTTTCACTTCTGGTGCTCTGTGATAGGGTTATACTGTACACAATATCCAATAAAAATTGCTGCAAAAAATGACACGATTTCAGAAAAAAAAACACAGGCACCATGTGGCCCTAGAGATATATGGTATGAAATTTAAACAAGAGAGACTCCTGCTTTATGTGAGCTTGGATAATGTAGATTTGTTATTTTGTGATATTTCACTTCTAACTGTAATTCTGAATGTGTGACAAACATACAGTGTATGTGATCAGTGCAGTTCCCATGTAGAAAATTAATTTTATACACAATTAATTATTGATGGCATTATTATTATTTTTAACACATCGGCCATTTCCCACAGAGGCAAAGTGACTTGAAAAAGAAGAAACACTTTCACCATTACTCACTCCATCACTGTCTTGCCAGAGGCATGCCAATATTACAGTTCAAAAATGGCAACATATCTCGACCCCTCCTTCAGAGTGCAGGCACTGTACTACCCACCTCCAGGACTCAGTCCGGCTAACCAGTTTCCTTGAATCCCATCATAAATGTTACCTTGCCCCCACTCCTACAGCATGCCAAGTCATAAAAACAAACTTGTCTCCACTCACTCTTATCTGACACATTCACCCTTGCTTGCTGGATGTCCAGTCCCTATAGAGTAAGGCCCCGCTTTACGGCGTTTCGCCTTATGGCGTTCCGCTAATACGGCGATGTCAAATTATGACCAAAATTTGCTATACGGCAAGCGGTCTTTTAAACACGGCGCCCCCCACCCGGTTTGCTTACATTTTCCGTGACCACATCTATTATGTCAGAAAACTTTTCAAAATTTCAAGTGTTTTAAAGTTACTGCATATTTTATATGTACTCTGATAATTATACTTAAGTGTACCTGTACCTAAATATACTTACACACTGTGCTGGTGTGCAGGTACACATTAAAATCGCTAAGTCTCTCTCTACTCATGACGCCAATACTACGTAATAATAATCACTCTTGGGCACACTAAATGTCTTATTTTACATCAATATAGGCATTTTCATTAATCCATCTATGATATTTTCCTCAAAATTATATATGAAACCCATTACATAGCATATAAACATGATACATACACTCAGAATAAAAACTGATGTAAATATGAGATTTGTTTACAAAGAAGCTGTGTAGTAGTGTCGGAAGAATTACGTTTTCTCTAGTCAAACACTGGGGGGTAACTGTAGAAAAATATTCTTTTCATATGCCTTTACTCTATGTATAGCAATTCACGACCCTTGTGGGTTTAGTGCTTTTTATAATAAATAATAATAATAATATTATTATTATTATAATCAAAAAGAAGCACTAAGCCACAAGGGCTATACAGCACTGTATAATAATAATAATTTTTTTTTTTTTTTATTATCACACTGGCCGATTCCCACCAAGGCAGGGTGGCCCGAAAAAGAAAAACTTTCACCATCATTCACTCCATCACTGTCTTGCCAGAAGGGTGCTTTACACTCCAGTTTTTAAACTGCAACATTAACACCCCTTCTTCAGAGTGCAGGCACTGTACTTCCCATCTCCAGGACTCAAGTCCAGCCTGCCGGTTTCCCTGAACCCCTTCATAAATGTTACTTTGCTCACACTCCAACAGCACGTCAAGTATTAAAAACCATTTGTCTCCATTCACTCCTATCAAACACGCTCACGCATGCCTGCTGGAAGTCCAAGCCCCTTGCACACAAAACCTCCTTTACCCCCTCCCTCCAACCTTTCCTAGGCCGACCCCTGCCCCGCCTTCCTTCCACTACAGACTGATACACTCTTGAAGTCATTCTGTTTCGCTCCATTCTCTCTACATGTCCAAACCACCTCAACAACCCTTCCTCAGCCCTCTGGACAACAGTTTTGGTAATCCCGCACCTCCTCCTAACTTCCAAACTACGAATGCTCTGCATTATATTCACACCACACATTGCCCTCAGACATGACATCTCCAATGCCTTCAGCCTTCTCCTCGAGGCAGTGGAGATGTCATGTCTGAGGGCAATGTGTGGTGTGAATATAATGCAGAGAATTCATAGTTTGGAAGTTAGGAGGTGGGGGATTACCAAAACTGTTGTCCAGAGGGCTGAGGAAGGGTTGTTGAGGTGGTTCGGACATGTAGAGAGAATGGAGCGAAACAGAATGACTTCAAGAGTGTATCAGTCTGTAGTGGAAGGAAGGCGGCGTAGGGGTCGGCCTAGGAAAGGTTGGAGGGAGGGGGTAAAGGAGGTTTTGTGTGCGAGGGGCTTGGACTTCCAGCAGGCATGCGTGAGCGTGTTTGATAGGAGTGAATGGAGACAAATGGTTTTTAACACTTGACGTGCTGTTGGAGTGTGAGCAAAGTAACATTTATGAAGGGGTTCAGGGAAACCGGCAGGCCGGACTTGAGTCCTGGAGATGGGAAGTACAGTGCCTGCACTCTGAAGGAGGGGTGTTAATGTTGCAGTTTAAAAACTGTAGTTTTTATTATTAATAATAATAATTAATAATAATAATATTATTATTATTATTAATATTAATAATATATTATTATTATTATTATTATTATTATTATTATTAATATTATTATCTTCATTCACTCTAAAAATGGTGTGTTGCTGTTTGTTTATTCTGAACTAACTTGTACAACTTGTACATAATGTAAGAGTATTTGTATTGTGAGGTAATTATTATTAAAATAAAAAAAAATATATTGAGGTAAATCTTTTACAAACTCTTACAAATGGACGTGAATGAACTAAAAGTAGACACATATTAATACGCATTTATTTCGCCTGACCAAGTGATCGTCCACTACCTGTTCAGTTTGTGTTCTTACATTGTCTAAACTCTGTATCTCATTCTCTCTCTCGTTTACTCTTTCGTTAACTAGTTGGCTCTCATTGACGATGGCGTCTAAGGTTAGCTGTAATAAAAAGAGAAGTCGTAAGTCTCTTGCTTTAAGTGCCAAGTTAGAGGATGATGGTGTGCCATTCTGATTTTATTCAATAAACACCCTGCCACTCACCTCTCACACATTAATATTAATATTTTAAGGTAAGTAATAAGTGTACTCTGTGTGTATCTTACCTTTTATTACTAACTTAATATAAGTTAGTGTAAACTTGTTGTCTGGCATTTATTGCATATTTTATATGCTCTGATAATAATACTTGTGGAGCCGGTTGGAGGGGCAACATTACGTTTTCTCTGCTCAGCCATCAGAGAAAACGTGTATGAATCTGCGTCTGGCCCAGCCACCCCCACACTCCACTTTTGTTTACAATTTTCGGCATGAATTATTCATTACTTCTACCTTCATTTATGATGGCATCTAAAGGTAGTTGTTAGAAATGATTAAATTCAGTGAACAAGGCATGTCGATGTTAATAATATGGCTCTGGGCCACAGTGTAGGTAGCCGGTAGGTGTAGCCCAGGCTACACCTACCGGCTACCTACACTGACTTTATACAAATAAATACTACTCACCTCTCTTCCTATATTAAGACTACACATATTTTAAGGTAAATAATGAGTGTACTGTATGTGCATTTTACCTCTCTGGGATGTTTTAAATATCGTATATTAAGTATGAGACGGGGAGCCAGTGCTACCTACACCTGGGCTACCTGCACCTGACTTCCTACAAATAAGTACTACTCACCTCTCTCCCTACATTAAGATTACAAATACTTTAAGATAAGTAATGAATTACTGTGACTGTATTTTACTGTGTGTGTTTTTAATGCCTACTTCTATTACTAACTTAATATAATTTAGTGTAAACTTGTTGTCTGGCATTTATATGCATTTATAAATGGAAAAAATGGAGTTCTGCCTTCCGGCGATGTCTGCTTTCCGGCGACAGCCTGGAACCTAACCCGCTGTACAAGTGGGGCCCTGCTGTACTGTCAATGGGCAACTTGCTCTTACAGGGACCCATTACACTAAAATTATTTCTTCCTTCATAGCCTAATTAACCCCTTGACTGTCGCAACCCCAAATCCTGAGGTGTCTCCTGGTATTGCAAAATTTCCGAAAAAAAAAAAAATTTTCTTATGAAATGACAGAGAATCTTTTCCCGATTGTAATGACACCAAAAGAACAAAATTTGAAGTTAGCGACCTCGGCGATATTTATGATATTTATGTATAAATATGTCAACCCATTCATGACTGCATATTAGAATGGCTACTTGGACATTTATTGGAAAATGACATCATTTGTTTACTTTGAACATCGGCAAAAATCAAACATTTCCCCTACTTTGAGCTCCATTTCACGGTTCTTTTCATAGTAAAACCAATCAAAATCACCTCTATTTCTATAATGTGTTTTCCATTCTATCAAATGAGACCAAGAAAATGAGAATACAACCATAAATACTATACGAAAATAGACCACAAATCAGCATTTTAATTAAAAAAAAAAAGGTCGGAGCTTTTTTTTTCTCATTATGCACTGCGTGCTGCAGGATTTTTTTTATATGGTGCACACTGACCACACAGACCCATTCTCTCACATGTGGGCCTCCCAGCTTTCTCCTGCTTGATTTGAAGCCACTAGAATTTATGAGTATATATACGTCAAAAATGGTGGCTCGTAAGACGTATATATATGACTGAAACAGTCAAAGGGTTAATCATGTAAAAATTAATTTACAAATTAGCCCAAACTTTAAACTATTCTAAAATTTGCAAGCTACACATGTACCATGCTGCAGGGACAAAAAGCCACAGATGGACTGCAGGTCTGGTTGATGATGCCCAGGATGAGGTTGGTTGCAGGTACGGAAGTAAGGGTGTAACGCAGGCACGAATTATCAACCTGAAGAGAAGATACATAAGATTTTATTATGTAAGATTCACCCACTTGTAAGATGTCTTACAGGTTTCTCTAAATTAATGGTCTTTAGCACTATCATTCTCATGGCATATAGCTATTATTTTCTTTTAACAGACTGGTTGAGGTAGGATGACCCAGATGGTCTTGGCAGAACCATTCTGACATCACAGTTCAGATGGTGCTCTAAACTACAACATCCTCACTCTTTTTCAGAGTACAGGTACTGTACTCCAGGACTCAAAGTCTGGCTAACCAGCTTTCCTGGATCTCTTCAAAAAATTTAACTTGCTCACACTCCAACAGCATGCCAAATCATAAAAAGCACTTGTTTCCACTCACTCCTATAGAACATGCTCACGCCAAAGCCCCTGAGCAAACAAAACCTCCTTCTCCCCCCCCCCCCCGTCCTTCCAAGTATCCTTTCCTGGAACTATCCTTACCCCTATTCTCCATCCCATTGTGTTTCTTAATCTATATTAAAACACATTTTGCCAGAGGCTCACATCAACTGAATTTTCAGAACCATCTTGGAGTTTGCAGCACCAGCATGGAACCCACACCTGAGGAAACATATTAAGAAACTGGAGAAGTGCAGAAGTAAACAACAAGGCTTGTTCCTCAGTTAAGGGGCATGAGCTATGAGGAGAGGCTGATGGAACTGAATCTAACATTGGAGGATAGAAGGACCAGGGGAGATATGATAACAACATACAAAATACTCAGGGTAATTGATAGGGTAAACAGGAACATGTTCCTTGAGGTGAGAAACACTAGACGTTAAAGACACAGATGAACCACAGAAATATCAGGAAGTATTTCTTCAGTCTCAGGGTGGTCGGAAAGTGGAATGATCTCGGTGAAGAAGTGGTGGAGGCAGGCTCCATACATAACTTAAAGATCAGGTACAGTAAGTTTCACAAAGCTAGAAAAGTGTGAATCTGGCAAGCAGCAAGTTATTAGACAGGCCAGGAGTTAAGACTCAACCTCTGCAGCCACATAGGGGTGAGTATATATATGTGAGCAAACTAACATTATTGTTTAGTCTTTAACCCTTAAACGGTCCAAACGTATATATATGTTCACCTGCGCAGCGCCCCGAATATTTTGAGAAAAAAAAAGATTTTTTTTATAGAAAAAAGAGCATGTGGTACCCAGGCTTCCCCAATTTTTTTCATGTGGCGCACATTTAGTGTGCACACCCATTCTCTCATGTCTAGGTGACTCAGGCCTATTGCGCCAATGTTGAATGAATTAAAAATGAAACATATATACGTTTGGGGCGCTATGCAAGAGAATGTATATATACATTTGGACTGTTTAAGGGTTAAACAGGAAGACACTAAGATTTACAATGCAAAAATGAGGATATAATTTTCTATGACAAATTGAAATAATTATAACAAACTTTTAAAATCAGAATGCTTGCCTGTTTAACTGATGGATCTGCATACAGAACAGGTTAACTCAAAGATAAATATATACAGCAGAGAATAAAAAGACACAATACCGTGACTGAAACAACACACAAATAACTCGAACGTAGGAGAAAGCAACTTATGTGTGAGTCATTTGTGTATAAACAGTAGAGGATAACTCTCAATCAAATTTGAAAAACTGATTTTTACCTGTCCTGTCTCTGGGCCAGAAGAGGCAACAACCTGCCCAGTAGGAAGACGTAGAGAGTAATGTCTCTCACTAGCACCATGCCACCAGCGACCACAGGACGTCTTCGACAACAGACCTCCTCCGCCTGCTAGCAACTCCATGGACACAACTGGCTCCTGTAGAGACATTGTCACATTATCAAATACCAATGTATAAAGACTCTTTAAAACATGCTTTTAAAATATCCTTTACTGATAAAGTACTGTATATGTGATAAAAGAGAATTAATTTGAACTTACAGTTTCTTCAAATAATCAACTGATTAATTTATAATAGATCTTATTTCTGCCAAATTTATTTATCTATTAGATACAAAGCATTCCTATTATTTTAATATCTTACTCTGCTTAATCTTATAGAATATGAATTGAAAATTAATGCAGCAATCATATTTGGATGTAGATTGATGCACCTGTTTCAGCACCTTCGGTATGTTAGTTAGTGTGATAGTTTTATTATGCACCACATGCCCTTCCTGTGGGTGGTAATCATAAAATTAAAAGGACACAAGTGCAACTAATGTGACATTTATTGTGGCAACGTTTCGCTCTCCAGGAGCTTTATCAAGCCATTACAAACAATACATGGACACAGAGGGTATATAAAGGCTCAGAGTGAGGTGAATACTAGTGAGGTACCATTTCGATGTTCACTAGTGGTAGTAGTAGTAGTAGTAGTAGTGGTAGTGACAAAAGCAATTAATTCGTACATGAGTAAAAGGATATAAAAGCTAATACTTGGGTAACATAAAAATAGGTTGGACAAATATAAACTGGAATGAGGCAGGTTGTTTCAGTGTTCACTCTCTGTGCTTTGTGTAGTATAACAGGAGAGACTATGTGATGGCAGGGTTTACTGTTTTCAGGAGGATTCTTGCTAAGACTTCGGAGATGGTGAAGCTGCCGTTGTTTTGTTTAATTGTATTCGAAACAGCGATCAGTGCTGATTCAAGGCACTTGCGTGTGCGGAAATTAGTTTCTTTTATCACTAATTGGGCGTCTCTGAATTTCATAAGATGATTGGTGGAATTTCGGTGTTGTACACAGGCGTTGTTTAAGTTGTCGTTCCTACATGCGTATATGTGTTCATTGAGGCGGGTATCGAGGTTTCTTGCTGTTTCACCTACGTAGATCTTGTCACAGCCTCCACAGGGTATAGTGTAAACTCCTGCATTGACTGGTTCGTGGTGCTTGGGTTTTGTCCTGGTTAGATCCTTTATTGAAGTGGTAGAAGCGATGGCGACTCTGGTGTTAGCTTGTGAAAGTACTTTTGAGACGTTTAGTGCAACCTGGCTGTTGGGAAGAATTATAACTTTGTTGGGAGCGGTGTTGATGCATGGAGAATTGATGATCTGAAGAGCTCTTTTCTTGCAGTCTTTGCAGACAAATACTCAAACGCACTAGAGAAGGGAAGAAACTTCTGTACTTGTTACCAAGCAACCCTAAACCAGCACACATGTATGGTTTACCCAAGACCCATAAACACAATATTCCTCTCAGACCAATCACGTCAGGAATAGGCAGTGCTCCACACAAACTAGCAGGAGTTCTTGCCAAACATCTTTCCTGCCTTCTGGGGACCATCAGCCCCGCTCATCTTAAACACTCAGGCGATCTTCTCAACCGCATCCGTAACCTCTCCATTCGTAACAAGAAACTAAGCAGTTTGGATGTGACTTCCTCTTCACAAAAGTACCTACCAAAAAAGCCATCGAGGTTCTACGACGTAAAGTCAACCAGGACCTTAATCTTCCTTTACCTCCCGGAGATTTTGTTGACTTGATTGAACTCTGTGTTAACTTCAACTGTTTTTCCTTCAATAACAAGCTCTACAAACAAACCTACGGCATGGGAATGGGGTCCCCAATAAGTGCCGTCCTAGCCAACTTATACATGGAACACCTAGAGTCCGAACACTTCGCCAACATCATCCCTTCAAGCGTCACTTGGTTACGTTACGTGGACGATGTCCTCGTAATAACTCCAAAACGTTTTGATGTACGGGATCTTCAGGCAAGGCTCAACGCAGTTGAACCAGCGATTCAGTTTACACTAGAAGAAGAGTCCAATGACAAGCTACCTTTCCTCGACGTCCTCATTCACAAAGTAGACAACAACCTAAGATTTCAAGTTTATCGGAAACCCACCAATAAAAATGATCTCACACACTTCTATTCCAGTCAAGATACCAAGACCAAAAGAGGCATCATCATCGGGTTTTTCCTAAGAGCATACCGAATTTGTAGTCCTGAGTTTCTTGACGAGGAATGTACTTACATTCACCAAACATTCACTGAGTTACAATTTCCTTCTTTTTTCATCAAAGACTGCAAGAAAAGAGCTCTTCAGATCATCAATTCTCCACGCATCAACACCGCTCCCAACAAAGTTATAATTCTTCCCAACAGCCAGGTTGCACTAAACGTCTCAAAAGTACTTTCACAAGCTAACACCAGAGTCGCCATCGCTTCTACCACTTCAATAAAGGATCTAACCAGGACAAAACCCAAGCACCACGAACCAGTCAATGCAGGAGTTTACACTATACCCTGTGGAGGCTGTGACAAGATCTACGTAGGTGAAACAGCAAGAAACCTCGATACCCGCCTCAATGAACACATATACGCATGTAGGAACGACAACTTAAACAACGCCTGTGTACAACACCGAAATTCCACCAATCATCTTATGAAATTCAGAGACGCCCAATTAGTGATAAAAGAAACTAATTTCCGCACACGCAAGTGCCTTGAATCAGCACTGATCGCTGTTTCGAATACAATTAAACAAAACAACGGCAGCTTCACCATCTCCGAAGTCTTAGCAAGAATCCTCCTGAAAACAGTAAACCCTGCCATCACATAGTCTCTCCTGTTATACTACACAAAGCACAGAGAGTGAACACTGAAACAACCTGCCTCATTCCAGTTTATATTTGTCCAACCTATTTTTATGTTACCCAAGTATTAGCTTTTATATCCTTTTACTCGTGTACGAATTAATTGCTTTTGTCACTACCACTACTACTACTACTACTACCACTAGTGAACATCGAAATGGTACCTCACTAGTATTCACCTCACTCTGAGCCTTTATATACCCTCTGTGTCCATGTATTGTTTGTAATGGCTTGATAAAGCTCCTGGAGAGCGAAACGTTGCCACAATAAATGTCACATTAGTTGCACTTGTGTCCTTTTACTTTACATATTGTCGGTAATTCTACCAACTTTATTACAATCATAAAATTACAGAGGCACATGGTTAGTCTAGGGACTGAGCTCCAGCTGTGCTCTGGTTAAATGGCTTCCCTGAATTCCTTCATAAATGTTACCTTGCTCATACTCCCACAGAATATCAAGCCTTCAAAAGCAATCCTCTCCACTCACTCCACCTTTATACACTCATACTCCTAATGGATGTTCTGGATTCTACTACTTCAGACCTTTTTCAAACCCTTCTTACAACCTGAGCTTATACATCCTCTTGATCACCCTATCCTGCTTCATCCTCTTGATCACCCTATCCTGCTTCATCCTCTTGATCACCCTATCCTGCTTTATCCTCCTGATCACCCTATCCTGCTTTATCCTCCTGATCACCCTATCCTGCTTCATCCTCTTGGTCACACTATCCTGCTTCATCCTCTTGGTCAGCTTAACCTACTTTATGCTCCTGATCACCCTATCCTGCTTCATCCTCTTGGTCACACTATCCTGCTTCATGCTCTATAATCACCTTAGCTTCCTTAACAACCCCTCCTCAGTCCTCTGAATTATACCTATTGTAACTCTGCAGTATCTCCTAATTTCTAAGCTCCAAAATCATTGCATAATATTCACATATGCATTGCTTTCATGCGTGTTGTAAGAGGTGACTAAAATGCTGGGAGCAAGGGGCTAGTAGCCCCTTCTCCTGTATAAATTACTAAATTTGAAAAGAGAAACTTTCATTTTTCTTTTTGGGCCACCTTGCCTTGGTGGGATATGGCCGGTTTGTTGAAAAAAAAAATGTATTGCTTTCAAATATGACATCTCCAACATCTCTACTATACTTTCATTATATAGCTCACCTGGTGTGTGATGTGTGGTGGAATATCAGCACCAAGGTTTGGAGAGGCAGAAGGTGCCAACAAGGATGGATGTGCCACCAGGTAGCCCTCATTGTTCATCAGGAAACACCTTACATTACTTGCTTTACCTGCTAAACCAGGCAAATTATATTTTATAACAAGCTTTCTCTTGATATTTTCTCAAAATTACCACTGCTGCTCTACAGTATACTGAGAACAAGTACCCACAGATAACTGTAATCATAATTTAGTTTTAGGCTGCCCAAAAAGCTATGCATAAAAACTGGCTTTCTATAGTTTATTTATGACAATCACCCTAATTGTATAATACGTATTCTGTACTACTCTCTCTATAGAAATAAGTTTGTTTTATTTGATAGTTTCACCGATATAATATGCTGTAACAAAATAAGAAAAAATACAACACAAGTGTTTCAGTGGCAAGCATAAAATAAATTACTCACCCAGAGCACCATAATTGCCACATGAAGGATTAAGGTCAAGCAGCAACTTGTACCAGTAACCTAGAGTAAAATCTGTGGCCAGTACGGCCACCACAGGATCAGCGGGGGAATGCATAGCAGCTGACCGTCCCTACGGAAGCACATCACATTGTTCAGTCAACTTTATACACTCAAAATAAATGCAGGAACAATAAGGTTAGGTTAAGTAAGGTTTGTCAGAAAACAGGACAAGTGTTTCCTGGCACAGGTCTTAGACATATGACCTGCAGCTGGAGCTTTTGGTCATCTGACCAAGGCCTTCTGCTGGCTTACTGGTTCACCCCTTTAAAAATTATGGTTATAATTATAACCCTCCATGGGGAAGTGGAACAGAATTCTTCCTCGGTAAGCCATGCGTATTGTAAGAGGCGACTAAAATGCCGGGACCAAGGGGCTAGTAACCCCTTCTTCTGTATACAGTACTAAAGTTAAAAAGAGAAACTTTCGTTTTTCTTTTTAGGTCACCTTGCCTCAGTGGGACATGGCCGGTTTGATGAAAAAAAAAAATTATAACCATCAGATGAATTGTTATAGAACAATAAGGACTTCAAGAAATTACTAAAAGGAGAATAAAGTATAAAAAGTATAAAAGCAATATTTCCTAAATAGATAATGTAAGCACTGCATTAATTATGATATAGCTGTCACTTACTATTATGCTGCTTGTGATAACAATTACAGACAATTATACACTGACTAGAATGTTGACAAATAAATTTGATAAGACACATATACAGTAGAACTCCTGTATCCAGGGATTCGGTTTCTGCTGTTTCAGTTATCCACAGTTTACTTTGGCCTGAAAATAGCCCTTAATTTTGCTTAACCCTTTCAGGGTCCAGAGGCCAAATTTCAAAGCGTGCACCAGTGTCCAAGAATTTTCAAAAAATAATTTTATTATTTTTTCATATGAAATGGTAGAGAATCTTTTTCTGAAGGTAATAAAACAAAAAGTACGAAATTTGATGGAAAACTGACGAAATTATGCCCTCGTGAATTCTGATGTGTTAACGATATTTACACCGGCAAATTTGCCGACTTTGACTCCCAATTTACGCCAATTACATTATTCCAGTCGACCGAATTCTTAGCTATTTCACTAGTATTACTTCTATTCTATCGACTGAGCACAAGAAATCTCCAAGTCAACTGCTTCAACTACAAAATAAAGTGATCGGAAATTGGTAATTTGGCCAATTTAATGCAAAGTTCAAAATATTCCAATTTCAAAATAGGGTCCAGAATAAACAATGCAGGCATTCCTGGCACTAAACTAACATTTCCTCTGTTCATTAGTTACAGTTTCAGGATTTACAAATGAGTTACATTTTTATTTTTTATTCACATAATGAAATTTTATTCAAACCAAAAAACAGAAGATTTACTGTTATGCAATATTGTAATAATTGTATAAATAATATCACCACAGTTGTGAACATATATTAGACCCACCAGCGGGCGTGTATTAGACGTGTGAGGTCATTTGTTTACTCTTGAACATCAGCAAAAATTTAACATTTCCGCTATTTTGACCTCAGTTTCAAGCCATTTCCATTACTAAAACCAATCAAAATCATCTCTATTTCTGTAATATATCTTCCATTCTATCAAATGAGACCAAGAAATCACAAATACAACTATAAAAGACACACGAAATAACACTGCAAAGTTGCTGTTTTAATTGAAAATTACGGTCTCAGTTTTTTCTCTCATTATGCACTGTGTGCTGCAGGATTTGTTTTATGTGGTGCACACATACCACATAGATGTATTCTCTCATATCTAGGCCCAAATTTACCACTCACAGCTTACCAGAGTGAACTGAGCTCATGGCGCAGACCTACGATTTGGACCCTCAACGTAAAGCCGTAGATCTACGGCACGGACCCTGAAAGGGTTAATAATGACACAAAAGTAGTGGTAGTGACAGTACCTCAATGCCTAAGAGAAGCCGTGAAGTGCTTCCCATCAGTGAAAAAGTTTTAATTATCCACTTGTTGTATGTAATTCATCAATTAGACTTCATCATAGGTATGTAAATAAATGAAAAACAACTTATATATAGGGTTTGCTACTCTCCATGGTAGGTCTTGGAACGCATCCCCTGCAGATACGGGAAACTACTGTACAACAATTAGGTATCTAAATTCTGAGATGTTTTACCTACACAGTAGGCTTTATCAGTTGAATACAGAGGTGACTAATATGGAGAAAGAAGAAGCAGTGGAAATGTAAAGATTTGATCAGTCCATCAGCCTTGATGGAGTGATCACCTCTACTAGTGAGCTCTGCCTCTTGTAATATCTTCTCCTTTCTGCATGCCTCACCTAAGTAGTATAAAGGCTCTATCTTCATGCTCCAATTTCACATTGTTCAAGTTCAAGGCAATGAAGCTAAACATATCTCCAGGCTGAGGGATTGACCTCCTTAATATTCCTCCTTCAAGACTGATGGACTGAACACATCATTTTTACCTCTCTGCTCCTGTTGTCTCCTCTGTATGTGACTGAAGAAGCCTACTGTGTATGTGTAAGCAAAACATTTTGGAATATTTGTATGCCTCTGGCAAGACAGCGATGGAGTAAGTGACGGTAAAAGTGTTCCTTCTTTTTCAAGTCACCCTGCCTTGGTAGAAGATGGCCAATGTGTTAAAAAAAAAAATGGTTGATGGATAAACTTCTGGATGTGCATGGTTTTAAAGGGGCAACAGATATATCAGATCATACATGCTTTAGTGCACAATACTGTCAAGCTAATTACAATAGAGCCCCACTTATATGGTAAGTTAGGTTCCAGGCTACTGCCATAGAGTGGAACACCCTTTTTTCCACCTATAAATGCATATAGATACTAGATAACAAGTTTACACTAACATATATTAAGGTAGCAATAGAACTAGGCATTAAAAACAATAAAAAAGTAAAATGCACACATAGTACACTCATTACTTACCTTAAAATATTTGTAGTCTTAATGTAGGGTGAGATGAGTAGTATTTATGGTAAGAAATCAGGTGTGGTAGGTATGGTAGCCAGCCAGGCTACCATACCTACCATACAATATCACCCCACCCACACATAATATACGTGTACTACGACATTTAACCCTTTGACTGTTTCGGTCGTATATATACATCTTACAAGCCACCATGTTTGACGTGTATATACTCATAAATTCTAGCAGCTTCAAATCAAGCAGGAGAAAAGTGGTAGGCCCACATGTGAGAGAATGGGTCTGTGTGGTCAGTGTGCACCATATAAAAAAAATCCTGCAGCATGCAGTGCATAATGAGAAAAAAAATTCCGACCGTTTTTTAAAATTAAAACGCCAAGTTTGTGGCGCATTTTCGTATAATATTTATGGTTGTATTCTCATTTTCTTGGTCTCATTTGATACAATGGAAAACATATTATAGAAATTGAGGTGATTTTGATTGGTTTTACTATGAAAAGAACCTTGAAATGGAGCTCAAAGTAGGGGAAATGTTTTATTTTTGCTAATGTTCAAAAGTAAACAAATGATGTCATTGTCCAATAAATGTCCAAGTAGCCATTCTAATATGCAGTGATGAATGGGTTGATATTATTTATACAATTAATACAATACTGCAGTTTCTGCATAACAGTAAATCTTTTATTTTTTGTTTGAATAAAAATTCAAAAAAGTAATATCAGAGGCACCTAGAGACATGACTGATGAACAAAGAAAATGTTATTTTAGAGCCAGGAATGTCTGCATTGTTCATTCTGGACCCTATTTTGAAACTGGCATCTTTCCTCATTTGCGTGAAATTGACCAAATTGTCAATTTCTGACCACTTTATTGGGTAGTTGAAATTGGTAAATGGATGGTTTCTTGTACTCAGTCAATAGAACAAATGGATTTCTAAAGAAATAATTATGAGTTTGGTCAACTGGAAAAATGGAATTAGCCGAAAATAGGGCTCAAAGTTGGGGAAATCGCCAATTCGTTAATATCGCTTAGGTCGCTAACTTCGTGAGAGTGTAATTCCATAAGTTTTCCATCAAATTTTGTGCTTTTGGTGTCATTACCATCGGGAAAAGTTTATCATTTCATTAGAAAAATATTTATTTATTTTTTTAAATTTTTGCGACACCAGGAGACACCTCAGGATTTGGGGTTGCGACAGTCAAGGGGTTAAAGCATCACAAGCCGATAAAATGCATATACAGTTCACTCATTACTTAAAATATTCATAGTCTTAATGTAGGGTCAGAGGTGAGTAAATGAGATAAAACAAATAAACAGTGCTGGAAGAGCATTGAAGTGTAGGGTGGTGGGGAACTTTGGAGCAAGACAGGCTCCAGTACACTAAGCCATCATAAGCTCTGCCCACTTTTCTTATGGCGGAAATTCAAGTGAAATGTATACACCAAAATTTAGTGTACAGATTTTTTTTGCGTTGGAAATGTACAGATTTTTTTATGCAGCCACTGTAATTTTGAAAAAATATCATAAATGGATTAATAAAATGTGTATATTAATGTAAGACATTTAACCCTTAAACTGTCTAAACGTAGATCTACGTTGAAGTGCGTAGCGGTTCGAACGTAGATCTACGTTTTTTTTACATACTTTCCAATGGAGAAAATAAAGGTCAGAGTACTACGCACGCGAACGTAGATCTACGTTTGGGCAGTTTAAGGGTTAATGTGCCTCAGTGGTTATTATTGAATATTATTATTATAATTATTAATATAGCATCTCAAGACATAAGATACTCTTACTGATTTTAATGTGTACCAGCATGCCAGCACAGTGTGTAAGTTTATTAAGGTACAGGCACACATTAGTAAAAGTAGGTCTTAGACAGGGATGTGTAATGTCACCATGGTTGTTTAATATATTTATAGATGGGGTTGTAAAAGAAGTAAATGCTAGGGTGTTCGGGAGAGGGGTGTCAAATACAAAATGGGAATTAACACAGTTACTTTTTGCTGATGATACTGTGCTTATAGGAGATTCTGAAGAAAAATTGCAAAGGTTAGTGGATGAGTTTGGGAGTGTGTGTAAAGGTAGAAAGTTGAAAGTGAACACAGAAAAGAGTAAGGTGATGAGGGTATCAAATGA